GTTGGTTTCAGACCCAAAGAGTAGAAAATGTGGGAATGAGAAAATGAGAATGTAGAAAAGCGAGTTGGCCCGATAATTAATATGGTTGTGTCAGCTTTTTAGTCAACTCCTCTGAAAAATCTACAAATTGGCTTTTCTTAAAACTAGTATAATGCAAGTGATTTGCGCGTGAACGTACATGTTTTATGTTTTGAATTTTTTATAAAATAGTAAAACTATGTGTTAATAAATAAAATTACATAATAAGATTGCTTAAAAAGAAATATATGAATTAATTTTTATTGTGTAGTTATTGTAATTGTATATTTTTATTAAAATGATTGCCTATGTTAATCTTTTTTTAAATAAGCCCCCAAATTTAAAACTGTTCTTAAATAAAACTATCAATTCTATAAGTTCTCTTAAATATACCCCTCTAACTTGAAAGTTGTTAACTTAACTCTAAATTAACTAAATTTTATTAATCTTGCTAGCTTTTTCCAGATGTCCCCTAGATAGTTACACTTGATATATGTAACATATTGCAATAGTTACTTCTCATTATAATTAATTAATACGGTAAATTACACTAAACCCTTATGAACTTTCAACCCATATAATTATTTAATACGGTAAATTACTCTAAACCCCTAATGACTTTCTATTTCAAAGAAGACCCCTAATAACTTTCTAAATTTTGTAGATAACCCCTATAAAATTAGAACCAAACAATAGCATAAAAATGTATTTTGAAAGTTATTGGGGTTTTTTGTAATTTATCTGAAAGATATTCGGGGCTTTATACAAAAGTTATTAGGCGTTTAGTTCGAAAGTTCATAGGGTCTATTTAATACCAAATGTTGAAAGTTTATTGGGATTTACTGTAATTTACCTTATTTAATGCTATAACTTTTAGTTCAAATAATACTATTAAAATAATTATATTATCTATATACTATAAAATATTTATACTATAAAATATTTATCTGATTTAATTTTTAAATTATTCTCTTAAATAAGTTAGTACTATAAATATTTTATAAGTTTTTATTATACTATCATTAACAATTAACAATACTATTAATATTTTTTTGTAAAAATATTAGTTTTTAGTCATTATAAAGTATAGATTATTCAATATCATGTAATAATCACTAAGAAAATACTCTAAAAATAATATTAAATTATTTATTTAATTTAATTAATGATATAATACTAAATAAATAGTGCAATTTGTAATTTATGTGATATTATTAAAATAATTATACTATTTACACGATTCAAAATTTATTCTATTTATTTCATTGCTCATTGTATTATAATATAATTCTTAATAGTATTTAGTAATATATTATTCTATTTATACTATTATTTTAATTATTTTACTATAATTTATAAATATTTATTATAATAATTTAAGTTGTTACTACTAATAATTGTGTATGCTTGTTTTATAAATTATTTTATTTTATTATTTTTAAATAATTAATAGTTATAATATTATTGATAATTATAATTAACTAGGAAGGTGAGGATGTGCATAATTAATAAGAGGTTATACGTATTTAATGAAAGATTAATTAGAGATAATAGCATCGTTAGAATTTATTAAAATTTGAGAGGGTAAAAAAAATTCAAAGTTTTAAAACCTCAATCCTCTTTTATAGATATAGAATAGATATAGATTGGTATACTTTCTCTATTTTAGAATTGGTGTAGTCTCTGTATTTTCTAAGAATTGGCTTTTCTTAGAGAAAGTATCTCTTAAAAATCTTTTTTGAAACAAAAAACATTATAGGAATCTTATTAGGCTCTACAAGTTACTTTTTGTTCTATTTGGTACCTTCCACGTAGTTTCCTTTTTTTTTACTTTGGCAAACCCAACAACCCTAATTTGGAAAACACATAAATTATATTATATCTATCTACCCTTTAAAAGAGGGAGTTCATGAAAAACTTTACCCTCTCCAAAATAGCCTTCCATCAAATTTAGTTACCAAACATATCCTGAATTCATAAACCACTTTACCCTTTCATCAGTTACGCCTATATTCCTCATCCTTTCATTTCATCGGTTATGCCCTCATCCTTTTAATTCATCGGTTACGTCGTCTCCCCCGATCTTCCATTACCTCCACCAACTTTTAAAGATGAATTCTCAATTCTTCTCAGTCATCATCAACGTTCACCGTATCCTCCGTTCTTCTCAGTTTTTGGGAATTGGTTAGAATCTTTGCTTTATTTTGTTTTAATTTTAAAGAATAATTTCATTGAATTTGGTTCTAATTAGCCATCATCTAATTTTTGTTCTAATTCAACAATAGGTCAAGTGTTTTCCTATTTAGGGCTTGCTTCAAGTGTTCTAATTGATCCTGTGTCAATTTCATCAGGTAAAAATTCTATTTTTATTTTTATTTTTTTTAAAATTCAATTATGTTATTGTGTCTGGCTCCAAAATTGAAAATTTGATTTAGGGCTTGCTTCATTTTTAATTTTTTATTTTGGTATTTATGTGCTTATCACTGTTTTTTTAACCAAATGGTTGCTAATTTGGGAATTTTCAACCTACCTACCTATTGTTGTTACTTGAGAATTACACACAATTAAGAATGTGGGTGGTGGTTCTGAGTAGATTTTTATTCTATTTTTAGTGAAAAATTAAGTCCTGCATTGCTAAAATAGTGATGGTTGGTAGGTGGATGGAGGTGAGGGCATGAGTGGCGATACTGTTGGTAATTCCTTACGAGGGGATTTGTCTGTATTTGATATGGATCTAAAATTGTGAAAGTTGCTTTATTAAAAGATACATTAATTTGGTTGACAGGAAATACAGCTGCATAGGTAAGTATTCTCGTATGTTTAGATTTGCTATATTTTGGATGCTAAATTGTAATCGGAAAAGATAAGTACAATCATAATTTGTTTTAAAAAAATGCAGATTTGATGGGAGCAAAAGATACAGTTTTCCAAAAAAAAAAAAAGAAATTGATAACGAAAAATATGTCACCTTATCAAATAAATTTTTTGTATAATTCAATCTAGAGAAACCAACGCAGGTTTTGCACCGATTGGTCTTTAACCAAATATTGAATTGCACTTGAAATACATTTTTTGAAAGAAAATTGCAAATAGTCCAGACAAATTTATTTGAAATGGATTTTCTACAATGTGTAGCATGCAGTATTTACTACGATACACTTTTGCCTCATATCAAACATGCTCCAAGTGCGAAAGTAAATTTCATCTACATGTATACACTTTTGCCTCATATCAAACATGCTCCAAGTGCGAAAGTAAATTTCATCTACATGTAAGCGAAGTATGATGTTTGTTTACAAATAAGTTGTTTTTTGAGCATGTTTCACTACTACTTATTTTTTGAGTCATTATAAGTTATTTATTACTTATTCTCAAAAAAATTTATAAGTATTAACTTATAAGGAGATATAAGTAGTTATATGTTTGGTAAACCAATAACTTATAAGGTCAGGTTAAAATTTTGAAATTAAAGTGTGATACCGTGCAATTTCCTATATATATATATTTGCATTATCATACTAATTGAAATTAGTCTCGTTCTATTTTCTACATACTTTGGAAGGATGGACTTAGGTTCTGCTGGGTAACTGCACTCTTGAATTCTAATTTGTTTTGTCTATTTTTTCTTCCAGTACTATCCAAGCTTGAACCGGTCAAGATGTTGCATGAAAGGAATATGTACAGGTATGTACCGGTTTTCGTTCCTATTGATGAGGTAGTTCTGTTAGATACACCTCAGATTTTTTTTTTTGTTCAAAGGTCTATTAGTGTCTTGCCTTGCATCGCATTTTTATCTGAAGTGGTTTTTGTTATAATGCTTATTGCTAACGTTTTATATTGAGTAGAATTAGGAATTTGCTCAACTTATTGACTCCTTCATGGCAAGCTAAGTGGCTTATCTATTTTTGTGAAAGTCATCTACAAAGATTCAAGAAATAATTTGGTGAACCAAAGCTTCAATCCATACTCCCAAAATATAGTAAATACAATGCACTACTCATGCACCCGACAAAATCTATGTTTTAGTTAATTGGAAATCTCATACCATTGTTGCTCAAAATATCATTATTTCCAGCACTTTCCATCTATTCAAAAAATGTCTAGCCGTCATCATTTACACCCATCTTCTTGCTTGTACTTCGTCACTGATTCATTCTTTAATTATGTTCAAATTAGATAAGATTCATGGTGCCTATGAATGAATTACAGGAAGGAGCCCAGAGGAAGCAACCTGAATGGGGATTGCAAGCTCTCCCCACTTGGGGATGGCAAATGCATCGGCAAGCCACATTGTCATTGCTCTCTTCTGCAGCATCATCAAGATTCTCGACTAACTTGGTTACAGCCATAACTTATTCACCTTATCTTCAGCTTCCTCCATCGTCTATATATAATGTCGCACGTTTATGTTTCCCAGTTCATTTATTATTTTCCTCTCTATAAAATTATTCATGCAGTTTGTGTTTGAGGATCTGGTACGTGGTATATTCACCTGAATCTGGTATGTGGAACCACATTCCAGAGAGGTAGGGACATTCAACATACCACAATAACCTGAATCCTTGAGGGTCTAATTCTAACCAGAGTATATATGTTGCCTATATCAATTTAATCTTTCTGCTACAATTTAGGATGTTTTCAAAGTTTATGAAGCTTGATCTCAACTTTTGGCAACCGTTCAATTGGAATAATTCGATTGCCTTGCCTCTTTTGAAGTGCCTTTTTATGAACCAGTATGGTTGCATCAAAATTTGTGACAGGCAGTTTTGTATTCTGAACATGGGGCTCCATTCTCATTTACCTTGTCTTTGGTTGGTTTAACTGCAATTACGTTCTTGGTGGCACTTATGCTTAACATGGTGAAACTTTACGGGATTTTGGATTCCTGTTGAGGGCCGGTTGCATACGTCTAAAGTATTCCTTTTGTCTGTGGTTCTATTATTGATGATCTAAATTATTTTGAAGTTTTAATTGCAATTTTTTGTGTTTCTCTGTGGAAGAATTGACCTTTGGTGATTGTTCTTTTTTGCTATCTTATCCATCCATTTTAGAGATAAATGGATTGGTTCATCTTCAGTCTGCAAAAGTGTCAAACTGTTCAGGAATAAATATGGTCATTGTGAAGACTACAAATGTTAAGCAATTTGTGTTGTTTTCTGGGGAGAATACACATAAGATCTCGAGACTAAATTTCCTGCTTTTAGATGTTGATGGTAATGATTTTTCCACTGCAGCAGGAAAACCTTCACTTCTGAAGCATTTGAATTTAAGAGGGAGCAAATTTGCACTCAATATAACCAATTTCACTGCTCTCGAGACTGTTTTACTTAAAGATATATATATCTTACAGATGAGAATGTGGGCAATTTATTGACAAGTTGTTTGTTCCTTAAGAGATTGGATCTCATAACATGTCGCGGTTTTTTCACTCTGAACATCATGGGTCCATTCTCGCGACTAAAGATTCTGAATGTGAGGCATTGCAACCAACTTGTTGAGATAGCAATTTGTGCTTCAAATCTTATGGAATTTAGATATCTTGGACATCTAATATGTTTCTCTCTGAGAGAAGTTCCCAAATTGGTAATAGTTGAGATCAAAATCAAAGAAGATGTCTGCGATATCAGCTCTGAATGTTGCTTAACATGCAGGTTATTTCTATCCATTGTAATATTATTGTCTATCTTGATTATGATAATTGATTTGGTATATGGATTTCATAAAACTGCTCAAATTAGGGGTGACATATTTGTTGTGTTTCTCATGTAGTTCTCGTGTTTACTGCTTTTATTCTTTGCGTTACTTGCGTTTTTCTCTATTTTCTCTTGTCAAGAGATCGAAACTTTGACTTCAAAAAGCTTACTGCTTCATGGTGAGTTTGATCATTGAGAAATATACGTAGTTGTATCGTTGTGAGAAATATGATGATTGAGTTTATGTTAAGGTCTTTTCCTGAATATATTATGAATAGGGGGAAGAGGCTACACAGTATCTCATAGGGAACAAAGATAAATTTCAAGCTGTTGGGTATGATTTAGAGACCCAAGGCTATCAGACTTCCACCTATGTCGGCGATAAAATCGTAAGTTCATGTGATTGACATCTTTCTATGGTTTTGCTGCATATGTGATAAATATCTTGCAAGATCTAATTGTGTCAACTTTCATTGTTCAGTATTTAATTGGAGGATCTGAGGAATATGCTGGCTCAGTGATTGGAGTCAAAATTCTTGATAAGTTAACATGAAAATGGTGAGATTCAATCTCAACTAATTCTAGCTCCTTTGCTACTTTAGCATATAGTGTTTGATTATTTAAATTTTCATGGAATTAGGAGGTCTTTTCCTACTACATTGGGTACCAAGCCCATTTCATCTGAATGCCACTCAGAAGTTCTTATAAATAAAAATCAGATCTTGATCCTTAAGGGGAGGTCTCCTCTTGCTGATTGAAGCTGCTTTCTTGAGGTTTGTAATCTTCATATTATTTTCATCTTGTATTTCAGACTTTATGAAATTGACAGTTTATAGTTAATTGCTTGATATGATTTGGATAATGACATATCATTAGAAAACAACATAAGAATCTCAACAGATTTACATAGAGGATGGTGGATTTGATAGTATATTTGAACATCCTTAGAGGTTACTATTGAATATGGTGAAGACAGATCAAGTGCATTGGCCAAATGCATGAATTTGAAATCTACATGTGTAATTTATGTGAAATCATTGGCAGCTAATCATCGGCAATACAACATTGTGTTAGCATATTTCGTAGGATATGTATTTTGATGGTAGTTCCAATTCAATCAAATAGTCATAAAAGAGCAAAATAGGCGAATTGGAACAGAAGTGGTAGCTTGGAGTAAGGCGTCAGAGGCAGTGGCCTAAATCCAATTGTAATCAGTGGCCCCTCAAGAGTCGGCAAGGGAACTCTGATATCAAAGCTAATGAAAGAATACCCATCAATGTTTGGGTTTTCTGTAAGCCACACAAGTCGAGCTCCGAGGGAGATAGAAGTCAATGGGGTTCACTACCATTTCACTGAACAAAGCCTAATGGAGAAAGCTATACAAGAAGGGAGATTCCTTAAATCTGCATCAGTACATGGTAATCTTTATGGCACGACCATTGAGGCAGTTGAAGCAATAACAGATTCTGGCAATGTAAAAATTTGAATACCCTATATATAAGAGATTTTAGAGTGTTTTAAAAAGCGTAACTCACTATGCAGACATACATTCTATTATATTGTAAATCTTATGTAGTGTACTTGTGTCTTGTTGTGCTTTATGTAGGGGAACAGAAACTTAGGAACAAGTTCAAAAGAGTCTAAGAAATGCAAAAGCTGAGCTCGAGCAAGGAAGAGGCCAAGGTCTTTTTGACCATGTATTGGTTAATGATGACCTTGAAACGTGCTATCATAATATGAAGGTTCTTTTTTCACCTTCCATCTTTACATAAAGTCGTACATTTCAATATTCTAAAGTCTTATGTTTTGTCGGACATTTCTCTAATAAAATATACATTTCATGCAGATATTACTTGCCCTAGATGAAACCCCTAATGTCTCTAATGAGTCAAGTAAAATTTATATCACTAATGGTTCATTTATTTTTCTTTTCATTTCTTTGTTCCAGTTTGTTGAAATTATTAATTTTTAATAATATCATTAATGCTGAATTCTCTTGTATCTTGCAGCATTGGATAAAATTCCTCTTAATCATTGTGTCTAAAAATGATCAGAAGATTCTAAAAAACTGTGGCGGGGGTCAATTAGAATCTTCAACTCCTAGCATGTGTGTTGATTTCACTATGCTCTGGAGATTAATACTTGAACCATTCATTTTAGTAAATTCAAGCTGCTGCTTCTCTTGTACGTTTTTCCTAGATGCATCTTCACTTAAAGGAGGTGCTCTTCGCCGGACGAGGTGACTAATTATCTCTACAATCAAATCATCGACAGATAATATTAATGGGTTCGCACAACTTTAACAATTCATACATCAAGCAATTGGAGCAAGATGTCTGCACTATCACAGACATGTTATTGATTTTGTATTACGATATAAAAGATGAAACAGAGTAGTGTTTGAACACCAAGAGAGCTAGCATGTTAAGTTGTAGTTGAGACGTGGTTATGTTTCATTCGTTGCTATTAGATAAATCATTATGTTACGTGATATAAGTGAAATCAGATTGCAAAAATTTGTCTCATGGATGGTGCTGCCTACAGTTATAGTATCATTGTTTTTAGCCTGTGATAAGTCGGCATCAGTGGATCCATGCGACATCTGAAATTTATTCTGATAAGAAACTTATTAGAGCCCAATCTGAGAGAACTTTACAGGAAATATCAATTAAAGCTTAACAATATATGTAAAGACAATTCTTTTTCTTTTTAATTATAGTATCATGGTTTTTCGCCTTTGGTTTCATCTGCAATTGATTTAATCAATGATATAACTACTATTTCAAGAGTATGATTCTTTGGTTCTTTGCCTTCTCAAAAATTCTTGCTCTATACTATCTTCATAATTTTTTAGAATCTTGCAATTTACTTTGATTCAATGAATTTCATAAACATGTAATCAAAAAATATCATGCTCCTAATTGGTTTAAGTAGCTTGCCGCTCAAAAGAAATTTGGAACCATTAAAGATCAAAATATCCGTTGATAAAGAGAGATATTTATAGTATTTTGTTGCATGACAATTAATTGTTTTGATGATATAGAAATAAGGACTAAAGAAAAAAAATGATGCTACTATTTTAGTAACATTTATATTGGATGATTATGATTAAATAGGTCATCTAATGTCATCTGTATACAGGTAGCATTGGTCGATTGAAATTCAATGTTGTTGTATATCAAATAAAATTCTTTTATAAAACTATTAATTAATTTCTATTGTTAAGGATGAAAACAATATATTATCAAACACTTGATACATAAATGTAATCTCATTATTAAGTCCTTTTGAATTTTTAAATTCCATATGTTTGATACATGGTTTAAATTAAATAAATCTTAATGAAATGAATCAATAATAAAATAATAAATTTAAAAAAAAATTACCACTTGCATTGCACGTGCAATCCAACTAGTAGGTTTAAATGAGTTAAATCCTCAAGCCAAGGGATTTGCTAATGCAGTTCACACGAATCACACCTGTTTAGAGATACTCCTTATAAAGAAGGTACGTAGTTATATAATATTTACCATTTCCAAACACTAAAAATTCACTAGAATTTAAACAAGCTTATCTAACAAGTTGATTAATTTAATTATCTAAATTAATAAAAAGTAACTATATTAACTTTTCTAGCGAATCTTTCTTCCTTAAAGCTTACCAAATAAAACTAGAATGGCAGTAGTTAATAAATTGTTAGAAATCTATATCTATATCTATATCTATCTATCTATGTATATCTATATCTATATCTATATCTTCTAAATCTAAATCTAAATCTAAATCTATCTAAATCTAAATCTAAATCTAAACCTAAACCTAAACCTAAACTATTAAAAAGAGGATTGGGTTGTTAAAACTTTTGATTGCCTCTTTTACCCTTCTAAAATATGATAATTCACAATAATTGTAGAACCCCGTAAATTTTATAATGAATATATTGAATTTCTATTGAAAACTCGTTTCCTGCTGTGCGGTCGACCGCACTGGGCGCGGCGGTCGACCGCCCAGCAGGCAGAGAGTTTGCTGGGTTTTGGGTCTTAACGGGTTTCGGGTCGGGTTTGGGGGTTAGTATATATTCTAATTTACCCAAGAGAACCCCTTTTCATCTGAAATCAGAACCCTAGCCTCTCTCTCTCTCCCCTCAAACCCTAGTTTCTCACTCTTTGGTGATTTGGAGGAGCTCTGAAGGGTTTTTCAGCGGATTTTTGGTGGTTTCAGCGAGAGGGATCATCTTCCTCCAGATCTAGGGCTTTGTTTTCGTCGTAGGCGAGTAACATCTCGCCCAACTTCACCCCTTTTCGTTTTTATGCTTAGATTTGAGTTTTTAATCCGGTTTTTATTGAGCCCAAATCGTATTTTATATAGATAAAGTAGATCTTATGGCATGAGGTGCAAAAATCATATATTTCAGTCTTAAAAAGTTCACTAATGATGTTTAATTAATGAGATCTTGATCTGAAACATTTTTATGAAGGTTAAACTTATTTTCTTCTGTTTAAGAACTTTTAAAATCATGTTGATTAAAGTTTGGGATTTTTGTTAATGTGAGGTTTTAACTATTTAAATTTGTTATTTACTGCCATACATTACTATTGAATTGTTAAAATTAGTTGGTTATAGAAAACCTCAAATTTTAAATGAGTTTCGGAGCTGACAGAAAACTGGGGTTCTGTCCGATCAGCGGTCGACCGCAGCGGACTCAGCGGTCGACCGTCGTGAGTTTTTGCCAGCAGAATCGCTTCTGCACTTTGAGCGGTCGACCGGCATGACCACAGCGGTCGACCGCCGCCCAGCTTTTGAGCCCAGTACTTCTCGGACCTGCGAGCGGTCGACCGGAGTGGGCTCTACGGTCGACCGCCGCACAGATTATTTTGCCCTGTTTGTTTTTGTTGAACTTTTCACTCGTTCGAGTGTTTGCCTCGACTTTCTAACTTTGGTTCTCAGTTTTACTAAGTATCTATGCATGATAGATGGCCTGAAATACCAGTTTAGAATCACACGCCGAGTTGAGTATGAAATTTGTATAAGTAAATCTTACCATGCATATCAGTAATGCTTGCTCAGTTGCACAGTCCTCGTGTTGGACTATAATCCATAGAAGTCCTCGTGTTGGACTATAATCCATTTCAGTCCTCGTGTTGGACAATTACCTATTTTTCTCATGTGTTGGGAAATCTCTAAATCTAATTCTTGTATTGGACATCCTTCTTAACCCGGTATGCGACATTTCACATGAGTTATGACATAACACTTATGAAGAGTATGACATGACACATACGTAGAGTATGATATGACACCTATGTAGGATACGACATGGTATTCATGTAGGACAGTACATGATACTGTATTTACGTTCTGAGATGGGTTGTATTTCCTTTTTACTTATTTTTCTGTTCACGTATTAGACTCCGGGTTTGGTACTTAGTGATTTTCAATTTGGGATATAAGGTATATACATGAGGGTTTCCTTGTTTGGATTATTTCGCTCGACGTACCTATGCCCGTGTTGAAACTTCATAAGTACTAAGACCCATTGTTTATTTTTAGGATAATTGTTTATATATATATTTTGTGATAACTATATTTTCTTATACAACGAGCCCTCTCCCTTGGGGTTGGTTGTGATGTTGCTCGCTAGCGCTTTGACGCTCGTTGTCCCTCTCCCCTTTCAGGTCACGAGCCAGGAGCCCGGAGAGTCGCAGGTTGATGACGACACACTTTAGTGTTCGACTATCTATTCTAGCTATGTTTTATTTTGGAGCTCCACTATAGACTTTGTTTAGACATTTGAGAGTATTGTTCTAGAAGTTGTAAAGGCTGTGTGCCTTATTTCCTTCTTGTCAGATATTTGTATTTGAGACTTTGAGTACTCCAGTTTATTTATTCAGACATTGACTATGTATTTCCATTTGTTGGATGATGAGACATCTATTTGATCATTACTATTATTTCATCAGTCCTTCGTGTTTTACCTTTTACTTGCTTTTGTACCTACACCTGTTATTGACTCTACTAGATAGATGTTAATTGTGATGGTGAAACATGTTGTTGCACGGTGTGGTGTATGGCAGGTTTGACATTCTTGGTTTCACCTTGGACTGCAGCCTTGTGTGAACCCAGGGGCGTCACAATAATGCCTTAAAATTTATTCAATTCATTCTATTTATTACACTATAATTATTCTTGCAATAAATAGAGAACTAATATTAAAAACTAACTATATATTATAATCATGAATTTTATTTAATTCATTCTATTTATTACACTATAATTATTCTATTATTTAGTCCCAGGGAAAAAATATTTCTCTTTGCACTATCGGTTTCTCGCTATACTTTAGTGGAATTTATAAGAAATTAACATATACCATCATATCTAATATTTATAGGGTGCTTGGGAAGACTTCTTTTTTAAGCTTTTAAGTTATATCAACTTTTAATAGCTTTTGGTTTTTTCGATAAAAATACTATAAAAATTATTCGAGTAGAATAGTAATTTGTTTGGTCAAACCTAACTTTTTAAATGAGCTTATAAGTTAGTTTTTTAAAAGTTGGGTTATACAAGCTTTTTAAAACTGTACTTATAAGCTAACTTATTATGCATTTTGCCAAACATATAGAAATAAAAAAGTTAGCTTAAAATGTAGTTTGACCAAAAAATAAGCCTCCCCAAACACCCTCTTAGGTGGTTTGATCAAAAAATAAGTCTTCCCAAACACCCTCTTAGTCCTAGGAAAAAAAATCTTTTTGCACTATTGGTTTCTCGCTATACTTCATAAGTTCAATCAAAATGGTAGTCATGAAAAAACTCAGGGCTAATTTCACAAAACGCATATGCTTGGTGCGTGTTGTGGGGAAGGGGAGGGGGATTTGTGCATAACCCCAAAAACGTTTTTTTAATCTCGCATAAATTCTTGAACTTAGGCTGTCTTACTAAATTTTCTGAACTTTTTTTCCATCACACCTACTACCTATAATAAAAAAATAACTAAATTTTTTTGAGAAAAAACACTCACAATAGAGGGAGGATGTATGTTGCCCGTAAATGCCAAATAGTTAATAATTAGAGTGTTTTTCTGAGAAGTAAGTTTAGAGAGCTCTTAACTTTTAACCCTCCAATCATACTCCCTTTAAAAGTGAGAGTTTAGGAAAAAACCTTCCACAAACAAAAATACCCATCCCAATTAAAATGTATATAACCTCATATTTGATTTAAGTATGTTAGAATTTTATTTCATAAAAATAGGTATGTTAAAAATTATAGCAGATCCATAATTTGTTTATTTAGAGAAAATAACTAAATATTTTTTTGACTGTCTAAATATTTGAACTTGGTACTTCACATGTTAGAAAATTAGAACTTGTTATCTTACAATTTATTTTTTATATCTAAATTTAAAAAAAGATAATAAATGCTATTATGAAATGTTCTCACCTACTAAATTATTTTAAAAGTTAAAGAGACAAATGTTATCTCTGCGTGAGTGACTATGCTAAAAAATATTCAAAATATACAAACGTTGAGCTAAGTCATAGAAATTCCAAAAAGACATAATTTGAATGTTTTATAAAAAAGGAAATAAACCTAAAAATTATTAGAAATATCCAAAAGACTTTAAGAAATTGTATAGTTTTTGTCGCA